TAAATAATGACGCCTTCATCGATATTGTTGTTGCAAATAGTGGTTCACACACTGTTGGCGTCTTACAGGGTAATGGTGCTGGCATATTCGGTGCTCAAACAGTTTTTGGAACTATCGCTGGATTAACACCGATGTCTATAGTATTGAAAAATCTGGATGGCGACAGTGACTTAGATGCTGTTGTCGCAAATAGTGGTTCAAACAATGTTGGCGTTTTACTGAATAATGGTGCTGGCACATTTGTTGTTCAAGCACCGTTGGCAGCTGGTACTACACCGGCATCTGTGTATGCAGAGGACTTAGATAATGACGGCGACATAGATATTGTTGTTACAAATAGTGGTTCAAACACCGTTGGCGTTTTCCTAAATAATGGTGGTGGCACATTCGCTGCTCAAGTATCGTATACAGTTGGCACTACACCAAAGTCCGTATATGGAGCCCTCTTAAATAATGACGCCTTCATCGATATTGTTGTTGCAAATAGTGCTTCAAACACCGTTCAGGTTTTACTGAATAATGGTGCTGGCGGATTGACTGCTCAAACAGCTATTGCAGTTGGTACTACACCGTCATCTGTGTTTGTAGCCGACGTGGATAAGGATGGCGACAACGATGCTGTTGTCGCCAATAGGGGTTCAAACACCGTTCAGGTTTTACTGAATAATGGTGCAGGCGTATTGACTGCTCAAACAGCTATTGCAGTTGGTACTACACCAACGTCTGTGTTTGTAGCCGACGTGGATAAGGACGGCGACAACGATATTGTTGTCGCCAATAGTGGTTCAAACAACGTTGGGGTTTTACTGAATAATGGTGCTGGCGTATTTGCTACTCAAGTAGTTTATGGAACTCTTGCCACCTCAACACCGCAGTCTGTAGTAGTAACCGATGCGAATGGTGACGGGAAACTTGATATTGTTACCGCGAATAGTGGTACAAATAACGTTGGTGTTATACTGGGCAATGGTGATGGCTCATTTGCTGCTACTCCAGTAACCTATGCAACTGGCACTGGCACACTACCGGTGTCTGTAGTA